GATGCCTTAAAAAACTTGATCTTTCCGGTTGCTCAAGTATCACGGAGTTTCCAAACGTTTCAAATAATTTAAAGGAGCTGTATTTAAATGGGACAGCAATACGAGAGATTCCCTCCTCAATAGAATGTTTGTTTGATCTTGCTGAATTGCACCTGCGAAACTGCAAACAATTTGAGATTCTTCCAAGCAGCATCTGCAAGTTGAGAAAACTGGAGAGGCTTAATCTCTCAGGTTGCCTCCAATTTAGGAATTTTCCAGAAGTTTTGGAGCCGATGGTATTTTTGAGATATCTCTATTTAGAACAGACACGCATAACAAAGTTGCCTTCACCGATTGGAAATCTGAAGGGACTTGCGTGCTTGGAAGTGGGAAACTGCAAATATCTAAATGACATCGAATGTTTTGTTGACTTGCAACTGCCCAAGAGATGCGTGGATTTAGATTGTTTGCGTAAGCTAAATCTAGATGGTTGCAGTCTATCGGAAGTGCCGGACAGTCTTGATCGTTTATCGTCACTGGAAGTGTTAGATCTAAGTGGAAACGATTTTAAGACTATACCTATAAGCATCAACAAACTCTTGGAGTTACAATATCTAGGATTAAGGAATTGCAAGAGACTTGAATCATTACCGGAGCTTCCACCACAGCTATCAAAGTTGGATGCAGACAATTGCGAGAGTTTGAATTATCTAGAATCAAGCTCATCAACTGTAGTTGAGGGGAACATTTTTGAATTCATTTTCAGTAATTGCATGAGGTTGCTTGAGACCAATCAAATCTTGGCGTACTCATTATTGAAATTTCAACTTTATACCAAAAGGTTATACCATCAGGTCTGTTTCTCAAACCTCTGATATACATCTTTTTTTCCTCTATTTGCCACCTTTCATTTTAAAACGATGCTATTTGAATTGTGTTAACAGCTGTCCGATGTTCCAGAAAGGGCATGTAGTTTCTGCCTTCCTGGAGTTGTGACTCCGAAGTGGTTTAGCCATCAAAGTTGGGGATCTACAGTAACATTCCAGTTATCTTCATATTGGGCTAATAGCAAGTTCTTAGGTTTCTCTCTTTGCGCTGTCATTGCATTTGATTCTTTCAACCATAGTTTGCAAGTTAAATGCACATATCACTTCCACAATGAGCATGGTGATAGTCATGATTTCTATTGCTATCTCCATGGTTGGTATGATGAGAAGCTCATTAGCTCAGATCACATATTTGTGGGATTTGATCCCTGTTTAGATGCCAAAAGAAAAGACATGTTTAGTGAATATAATGAGGTCTCAGTTAAATTCCAACTGGAAGATATGAACGGCAATTTCTTACCATTAGATCTTTGTCAAGTACTCGAGTGTGGGGTCCGTCTACTCTATGAAGATGGGATACATCAGTTTGATTTGATCATGCCAGGCTTCTCTCGTTTTCATCCTCTGGATCGAGATGGATTGGAAGCAAGGTTCCAAGCCAAGAGAGCAAGGTCCCAAGGCATGAGACGGGATTATTCTGTCATGCATAGGACCTCTGAATTCTTGGCATACCTTCAGGTCTGTTTCTCAGACCTCTGATATACTTTTTTCTTTTCTTCGTCTCATTTTAAAAAGATGTCATTTTAATTGTGTTAACAGGAGCCCAATTTCTCAAAAAGGATACCTAGCTCTTGCCTCCCTGAAGATGTAACTCCGGAGTGGTTTAGCCATCAAAGCTGGGGATCTACAGTAACATTCCAGCTATCGGCTAATAGCGAGTTTTTGGGTTTCTGTCTTTGCGCTGTCATTGCATTTTATTCTTTCGACTTTGAGTTGCAAGTTAAATGCACATATCACTTCCGCAATGAGCACGGTGATAGCCATGATCTCTATTGCTATCTCCATAATGAGTTTGAGGAGAGGCGCATCAACTCGGAAAACATAGTTATGAGATTTGATCCCTGTTTGGTTGCCAAAGAAAAAGATATGTTTAGGATATACAGTGAGGTCTCAGTTGAATTCCAACTAGAAGATATGGACGGTAATCTCTTACCATTAGATCTTTGTCAAGTAGTTGAGTGTGGGGTCCGTCTACTGCATGCGAATGATGGATTGGAAGCAATGCACCAAGCCAAGAGAGAAAGGTTCTATGACCTTGACATGAGATGGGAGGATTATTTTGGCGTTGTTGTTCGCCGGAGAAAAAAGAGAAGGCATAATTAATATGAAACTTGGGTTTCACGGTTGAAATAATTTAATAATTATTTTAACAAGGATATAGCGGTGCGAAGTGCTGCCGAGTCCAAGAATAAAATTTTAATGTTACATTTAGTTTTTTTTTTTTTAATTTAACATGATGTTTGTACCAGCTTTTGAGAGTGTGATAAAAATTATTTTTTAATTTTATAAATTTTGAATTTAATAAACATATAAATTTTTAATAGTCATTATATAAGCAATCACGAGACTCAAATTTAAAACTACAGAAAAAAACAAATTTTTTTATTTCAAATTTTTATTACTGAGTTACCATCTAAATGGTTAGTTTTTCTTTTATTTATTTTTATTAGTGATGGTGTTCATTTCATGTACTAATCTAAGATTAATGTATTCTTTTTGTTTCTAAATTTTTTTATTCTTAAATAATTTTGAAATTTTAAATTTTTAAAAGCATATAATCAATTTTAAGAAAATATTTCTGATAAAATGTTTATCATAAATAAATATTTTTTATTTAAACATATAAAAATTTCAAATAAACAATAAAGGTTGCAAAAGTAGTAAAAGTTGTTTTTTAAAATAACTTTTGTTTATAAGTGTATTGAAATAATTTAATTTTTTAAATAAATATTTCTAAGATTAAACATATAAATATTTTAATATTTTAAGCAAATAGTCTAGGGTCTTTTTCGTGAGTATGATAACAAATATTTTTTAAAATATTTTTTATTTAGAAATGTATTGAAATAATATATTTTTTTAAAAAAATTATTTTTTAATATTAGCATGTCAAAACAATTTGAAAATAAAAAATAATTTGAAAAAAATAAAAAAAATTAATTTTTTAAATACAAAATATTCTCTTTATTTTGACATAAGACAATTGGTCATTATTTTGATTATTAATTATTATTTTAAGTTAATCTTTGATGTTTTAAATTAAAAAAATCAATTAATAATATAATTTTATAATTGTATTATTAAATTTGACTCTAGATTATATTAAATTAAATAATTTGTTGAGATATTAATAGCGTGAAAGTTTTAGTTAAGAGAGAGATCAATGACATTTGACAGTTTTTTTCAGATTTAAAAAATATTTCTGAGTACATATATATTTTAACAAATGATAATATTGTTTTTGAATAATCTGAAAATAATAAGATATATTATAAAAAATTAAATTTTATACAAATTATTTTAAAAAAATTTAAAGATATGTCTCCGTCGCCAGTAAACTACTTGACCAATAGTTAGGAATTGTCTTCCCTTTTAGCCCCAACATTGCCGTTCCGTTCCAAATTTAATGCGTCCTCAGTGATAGGAAAGCACGAGGCCTTGACATTCGACTCCCCCGAGTCTTCTTTGCTTATCCATTTCCCATGGAAAAGATCATCTTGTGACGTTCTCGGTCTCTTGTTGGAAACAAGAATCAGTGTAGTTTTTCTTCTATGGTTTCTTGGCTGACTGAAACATCAAACAAGAAAGTTGCTGCCGGACCCCTCTCCCTGTCTTTCCTGTATCCACTCTGTAAGTCCAAACTCTTTTCTTCTTTCCACTTTATAGTATTCAAATTGATGCTACCATTAGTTTAAGGTTTGAGAATTGGGTCTGTTTTTGTTTGTTTCTTTATTTCAATCATCAACTCTCTCTGGGTTTCTTGATTGAGATTGCATGTTTATTTGATAAATGAAGCGTACTGTAAAACTCCAAGTCTTACGGTTTCCCTTTGAGTCTAGCTGAATGAAAGATTTATTTGCTGAAATTGAAGTAAAAAAATTATTTTCTTATCAAATGATTGAGCATAAGCCTACATTTGAGCATGGTTTCTAACTTTCTAGTCCATTAACAAACTTCAAGTATTCCCATTTTGTCGGCATTTTGGCGTGGAAGGATCTAGTGATTTTTTTGTGAAGAAATTTTTGAATCCTTGATATTTGTAAGGTGGGTTTCAGCGTTTAGTGTTTAAAGAGTTTAGTGATTTGTCCTTCTCTTAAAATTCTCGACTGTTGTTTAGTGTTATCTGCTGTGATTTATATCCTTAATTTTTCTTTACCAAGTGAAAAAGAGAGTATCTATGATCTTCTAATTTCAAGTGATTTTCTGCACAAGCTAGTGAATGTCGGATATGGCATCTTCTTCTACAACTGCTCAACAACGGAAGTATGATGTATTCCTCAGTTTTAGAGGCACGGATACCCGTGACAATTTACCAGCCATCTCTACGATGCCTTATGTCGTAAACAAATCTAGACTTTCACAGATAATGATCTTGTAATGGGTGAAGAAATTGAACCTACACTGTTGAGAACAATTGAAGAGTGAAGAATTCCCGTAGTGATATTCTCAAAAACCTATCCATCTTCTCTGTGGTGTGTGGATGAACTTACGAAGATGTTGGAAGTTCGGACCGGTGATGTTCTGATAGTTGATTATAGAAAGCTAAATATACTAGCACATAATATTTAACATCGTTCAGCAAACTGTCTATATCCATGAGAAAATAACTAATATTATTAGAAAAAAATAGAGAAAGAGTTACAACACAAATAAAGGAGGAAGATCACTTCACTCAAACTCTACTCCCATTGCTCTCACACACAGCTGCACATTACAGTAGGGCTGCTACCCTTGACAGCTCCTCTTTCTCTCTTTTTCTCTTCTCTTCATTCTCACTCTCTCTCTCTCTCTTGCTCTCAAATAATACCTCTATTTATAAAAAAATTCAATAGCAGACAAGAGGCTATAAATCATGGCATAAATGCTAACATGAATGAGTTGCATCATTTTTGTCAATGGTTGGTGCAACTACTATTATAGCCTTTTGACAATGGTAACCCTATTTCTTAGGATATGTTGCAAAGTTGTTGTCCATTAATGACAATATCCCAACAGAAGATACTAGAATGCAATAGAACATGTGGGCAGATTGTTTTACCAGTTTTTTTTATCATGTAGACCCATACAAAGTAGATGAACAGAGAGGGAGTTTTGGAAATGCATTTGCTGTGCTTGAAATAAATTTTAAATGGAAGATGGAAAAGGTTTCAAGCTGGAGAGCTAACTTGTCAAATATTTCTGGATGGGATTCACAAGTCACCAGGTAACCTTTTCTCTATATTCTATACCATTTGCAAGTTTCACTTGAATACATGAATATAAGTATTATTTGTTCCATTTTGCATGCCCATTTTCGAATGAATCCATCGGTGTGTGATTAGAAGTTCGTCGATGATTTTTTTACCGATGCCATCACCGATGAATTATATCCGTCGGGTTACCTTTTGATAGTGATTCAACATTTCATCGCTATATCGGTCGGTAAAAAAAAATCATCTGCCAATGGTTTTACAGACCGAATTTGTGCACCAAAAAAAAATTCCTACTTCAAATATACCGACAAATTTGTATTATGTCGGTGATATCGTGATTTACCGATGGAAACTAATTGTTGGCAAGGCTGTCGGTGAGTGTATGAAATACCGACCGAATAAATCTGTCTGTAAATTCTTCAATAAGTGTGGTGACATGACTAAAAGATTCATGTCTTCTCCCAAGTGCAGGAGTGTCGAAGTAATAAATAACCCAGTAAGACCAGGATCGAACCACAAGAAGGTTAAATGTATAAATTATATATAACAAGAACAACAACAATAACAACAACAACAACAATAACAACAATAGTAGTAGTAGTAGTAATAATAATAATAATAATAATAATAATAATAATAATAAAGAAAAAGAAGGAGAAGAAAAACAAGAAGATGGGAACTTCGAGATGAAATATTAATTTAAGGATTAAATAATGATAATAACAAATGTAAAGGTTAGAGGTTCTACTAATGGTATGTCAAACAAGTATAATATAAACTCTTATTATTCAATTGGAAACCACACACAAAGGAGGTTCCAATCAGATTATAGATTGTTAACATGATTACATTAGTCATCTTATTCAATTAATGCTAATACTTATAAATCTCGTTAAGCATTCATGATTATAACTTATGTTAACAACAAATCAAGTTCCTTTCATAGCTCAGGTGTCGGTTATACCATACATTATGGGCTATGAAAGTGCCAAGCATTTGTTGTACCAAGTGTTATACAACATAAATCAAGATTAATCATTTAACAAGCAAAGTATTAAAGAGTAAACAAGATAACAAATATAAAACATGTTAGTATCAAAAATTAAAGTCCATATTAAGTTTACATTATACTTATTCTCACACCATTAGTGTAACCTTTTCACCTTGACATAATTAACTTAGCTAGACATAATGAAAGAAAGCAAAATAGATAAACAAAATAAGAACATAAAAGTTAACTAAGTAAAGGAAAGGAAATGAAAGGCATAAACTTAATATTAATGAAAGCAAAGCATAAACATTACAAAAAATACAAAGAGAGAAAGGAAGAGCATGATCTTGATCTGAACACCAAGATGCCTAAATGCATGGCAAATGCCTCCTTTTATAGGCCAAAATTGGGAACTATTGATTTGATGACTAATTGATAAGTGGGTGGCCAACTTTTGACTTGGCAGTAATCCTTATCTTCTCTTGTCTACCCAAAATGTCATTGATAACATCAAAACTGGAACCACTTGCACATGAAAGTTGTAGGAAATTGTCTCAGCTTTATTGTGTCAGATCATTTGAACTTCTAGAACGCTAGATATGGGTCAAATACTGAACAGTGTTCGGGCTCGAAGACAAATTCAGACTTCTTTGTTATTGCTCCAATTTAGACTTGAAAATGGTCTTTTTAGATCTTGGGCTCCAATGAAAGTTGTAGTTCTATGTCTTACCTTTCCATCCATATAAAGTAGACCTAAATCTGAGATCTACAGCTCCAGATATGACCGAATTACAGAGCAGTGTTCTGGTTTGGACTGCACTGGCATCTCTTTTCTAAGTTTGGCCATCTCTTTATCCTTTCAATTTCAGTTCTTAAAGTCATCAGTTAATTATTTTATTTATATGATAGGCCTATATTTAACATGAATATTCA